CATATTTTCATCACACTAGGATCCCACACAGTGAAGAATGGGGAGTCTGCATAGCGGGTCTGAGGATGGAGTGGACATCAGACCTCAGAGCGGCACCATACTAAATAGAACACCCAGGCAAAGGAGCACTTGGCTGCTTCAGTAAAACCCAGAAGATCAAAACCTATAGTGTGCTGTTTGTTTCCTATATCATGAGCACAGACTGAGGACAGAAAGCCCTTTTCCAAAATTGATAATGCTCAAAAAGATACCATTTTGCTTTGTACATCATCCTGACCAACATCAAATAATTCTGCTGCCGAGCTGAGAGCAAGAGAGGCGTAGAAGCTCATTTCACTACGTAATTCAACATGCAATCTGAGGGCTTGCATGAGGGGCCTTTGCATTGTTCTCAGGGACACAGAGAACACATTTACACTTCACTCTTTCTGAGAGGAAGGTGCAAAGATCCTGATTAAGACGAAGACCCAACATGTTTATATTATACCTATATAGCCTCCTGTTCAGGCATTAATTGTTCTCCAGAAAAGTAGACTGCTTCACTGGAGCTGATACTATCTTTTAAACCAAATAATAACTCTCATGAGGACAATGACAGAAAAGAAAAAAAAATGATGAAAGCATACAGTATAACCATAGCTGCTGTTCTAAATTATATACTAACTGGGTGCTGTGGCTATAGTCTTAAATACCAGTTTAAATACGTGGCCCTGGGGGAAAAGGCTTATCTAGGACCCAAAATCAACCACAGTTTCCTACACTGAGTTTGTAGACCTGAACATCTCTTACAGCGTGAGGTGAGAACACCAAGGATGGGAACATGAACAGGGATGAAGCAGATAGACACAAACAAGCATGAGCTTAAACGTTTAGACAGGCTAGTGATACATGCAGCAAACAGCGAGAGGGTGCAACTGAAGAGGGGGGAAAAAAAATACCAGGAGAAGCGGACAAGATGAAACTCACAAACGGATGCGCACAGACACAGACAGACAGACACACACACACACACACACACACACACACAGTGGCCATTTACATACAAAGTTACCTATCATCATCAGCCAGGAGCTACACAGAAAGGTATTATGTAACTGTACAATGTGTTCGCAGTCAAATGAACTAAAGCATAAGAGAGGAAGTGTAATCAAAGCGTAACTAATGTTTTCAGACGTGGTACAGAAAAAAAAACAAACAAATCTTGGCCAGGTTTTTGATTTTGCGCAGGTGACTAGCCCATATATAAGCTCATCCTCATCTCCCAAGTGGCTAAGGGAACAAACATCATTGACTATGTCAGCTGACAAGCAGAAGGCTCATGTTCCTTGTTGGTGCAACAAGAGGAGTGTGAAGGAGGCTGGGCACTCTCAGACCAGCAGCTGATGGGGTTTGTGCTGGCTAGCATATACCAAATCGCTGCATTCCCCAGCATTTCTCTCCTTTTACAGCAGTTATGCCCAGCAGCCACCATGGGACCTGGGTCTCATCAAGGCTTGCAGAATGGCTATCTTCTCTAATACCCGTTCGTGGCCTTCAGCTGTACCGTGCGGGAATAAAAATAGAAACGTCTCCATCCCTCTTGCTCTCTGTGCGTGACGGAGGTGCGGGATGCTGGGAGCAGGGGAAGGTGTGCTGCGGCAGGCAGCTTGGCATGGGGGCCTGGGGACTGCTGGGGGAAAATCAGATGCAGGGAGCATCTACGCATCACATGAGGAAGCAGGATGAAACAGCTTGGCAGCAATCAGGCCCAAACTGAAGGCAGGCAAATGAACACATAGCTGCTTTGCCTACCTTAGACCTACTGCTCTCATCATCAGGTATGAGAAGCAACACTAGAAACAAAAATCAGTGCTACTGATTCTGAATCTGACTAATGCCCTATCCATTATAAAATAGCAGCAGTGAAATAAATGCCAGTCGTCAGCTCAAAAGAAAGTTTGAAGACCACACAGAAGACAAAGATCTTTGGATATTATCAACTAACACTTAGCTGAACCACCTGAACCTGTGCCTGCCTAAATTGCCTCATGCCTTGTCTACTAGATGAGACAATATGCTGGCAGCCCCTGGCTACAATCTGATCTTCTCCAACCTCTGGAAAATACCTGTCTTGACAGAGCTATGTCTGAGGTCCCACTACTAATGTTTGAACAGATGTGCGGAAAAGTGTTTTAATCCTAGTTAAAGAGGGACTGACTGAAGGAGTGGTTTTCTGAATCTGGGTTACTGCACCTACACTCGCTAGTATAATCCACATGTCTCAAATGTCACCAACCAATCAATAAACATTGATTAAGCAATCAAACAGCTTTGACAATGAGCACAATTGTTTGAATGATGAAGCACAAAACAGCAGTATGCCCCTTGGATATGGGTTTGTAGTTTTCCCAAATAATAACGACAGGAAATAAGGGAATGTCTGCTTTTTTCCAACACCTTTAAACGAATGAGATAAGAACTACAGTGGTAAGAATTCATAAACATTGCTAACATCCACCTTAATCAAAACTGAGGAGATGGAGCAGACTGCCTCCACGTCCCTCATTCTACTGTGATTTAGACAGAATTCATGCTGAAAACATTTCAGTGTTCTTATCTATGCAAAGCTATACCATATATAAACATGCATCCCAACACTAGCTGCCAACAGCAGTGAAACTGTGGAGCTCCTGTCTGTGTAATATTTGCAGTTACATCATCAGCCTGGTTGTCCAGCGGCATTCCATGCAACACACTTAGATCCTACGTGTCATATGTGCTCCATCCCAATCTCTGACTACCACTCTTGTCTCTGAAACTTCACAGGCAAATCTCCCACTCAGTTCTCCACTATCAGGCATGTACAGTGGTGGAGGTGAGTGGCATCTTAAATCTTGCATGCAAATCTAGGTGCTTCGCTGACGCAGTAACCAGGCAAGAACTGAAGCTCAAGCTTTCCAGTCTATTTTTAGAGAATGGTCAACATTAACATACAATCAGGCTTTTGCCCCCCCCCCAAACCCAGAAATCAACACACAACATTGCAAATGGTGCTGCTTCAAAATGATGAAAATCAAAACTTCCATCCACAATAAAAAGGGTTGCAAACATTCGCAAAAAAAAATTTGAAAATTTTTTAAATTGCATTTCAGTATCACAGTGTGCAACTGAGCATATTAAGTATCACAGTAAGACTCAAGAAAATCAAACATCTAAAAAAAACCCTGATGGGAAGGGGAAGATGAATAATACTCAGTTAAACAAACTCTGAAAAGCACACACTTCTTTATGAACACATGCAAATATGTGGAACGCCCTTCCTGGGCCTCTGGGTGGGTCATTTAATCCAGACCGGGCCTTTCCACAGTATCCGCTTTTAAGCTCTCATACTTAGGTTGTCACTTAAAACATATGCCTATACAGTACCCATTATCCCATGACTAAGGACAGGGTACACATTGTGCTCTGAAATTTTTGAGTTATTATTAGTTACTAGAAACAAAAAGAACACAAAATAAAGGAAAAGACCAAAGGCACAAAAATGTTGTAGATCACCGCGGCATGGAGTGAGGAAGCAGGGACAGGAATCCAAGTGTCGGGCAAATACAGGGTTTAATCAAAGGCAAGACACGATCAAAAGACAACTACACCACAAATAACGTCAATGACTGGACTGGGGAAACATACTCTAACGCAGACTTAAATACACAGGACTAATTAACAACAACGAGAAACAGCTGGTAACAAGGGGATTCCACACGAGGTAGCGAGGGGGCGCGGCACATGGGAGGATCGGACAAGAAGGCATGAGACAAAAAACTCATGAAAATTTTTCAATTTTCATTTCCTGCTCTATTTAACAAGTGCACTAAGCAATATCAGACTCTGTCCAAGTCAAAGATGTAGTATCTCCTTGCCTCTAACACAAGGCAGGCAACAGTTCTATGTCAACATTCCCTGCATCCATGTTCATTGAAGTAAATGCAATGCCCATAGCCACTCACACTATAACCAACCAAAAAACAATATCAATACAAATACCTATTTTCACCTTAACTGATTGCTTATACCATTCCTTTCTGCTTGTTTTTATATAAAGGCTTTTGTAAATATGTGTCAGCAAGATTCCATCCAAATATTGATACTGGTCTTTCTTTTCATAGTAAAACAGGAAACTCGAGCAAAAATCAAAACCACAATGAAACACAGTAAAACAAACACAGCAAAACTATTTGTTGTCATACTGTATTGCATCCTTATATAGTAAAATGCTAACCCAAATTGTAATGTGATCAGAAAAGCAGCAGTTTCATTTATGACAATGCTGCATAATAATGATCAATAAAACGATGCATACTGAATACCAGCAGGTCCTAACACTTATCAATGTGTGACATACATTTCAAGTCAGCTTGACAGTCATTCACAGAGCAAAGAATGCAAGGCTACCCCAAATCTTTTCAACACACTATACAGTAGTCGACGCTCAGCTGATCCTGGGAGTCCTGGGAGTCAGCACACTTTCAGGAGTGTGAACTTAGGCGAGTCACTGTGGTGAAACCTCAGTGGAGCCAGCAGAATGAGCCAGTGTGTGGCAGTCTGTGCCTTAGGTGCCTTCCAGCAAACCAACACTTATATGCTGCATTCTGAGGAATATGTCTCAAAACAACTTCCCTGCCCCAGCAAATCACAATTGGATAACCTGCCATGCCTCAAAGGCAAAATGAACCATTTCCAGAAGAAATGTGCCCAGCAAAAGTTATATTGTTTAAATTAGCAGTTAAACAACTGCATACAGCTACCACATTGCATTTGGTTTATACTTAATTAAGTTAAATGAAGACTCAACAATCTGTCTTTCAGCAAAAATATCTATGATCTTATGCTAGTGTCCAAATTCATAACCGAGCTTTGGAACCATTTACCATCCTTCTTTCTATATACAGAACTACTACTAACATCTTATTAAAGGACGAGACAATGACCAAAACTGTTAACACAAAATTCAGCCTCTTTCTTACCTCAATGAGGAAGTCTCCTGTTCGAAGCCCAGCCTGCCAGGCGACCCCACCCTCGTCCACTGATTCTAGGTACTGAAGGGCGGGAAAGGCCGGGGTGGGGGTGAATTCCTCGATTGGGGTGTCGGCTTGGGGATAGCAGCCAAAGCCAAAGGAAGCCAGAGAGAAATAGGATGCGATTATGTCTGGGTTACGGCTTCGTGGCATAAGATGAAGTCGCATAAAACAAACCCTGACTAAAATTACAGCCTCAAACAGCTCAGTATGAATACAAGACAAATACACATGAACACCAGTAAGAACACCTTAACAGACTCAAAACAATCATCCAATGATTTGATTCCATGGAACACTCACGGCTTACTGACACTATCGTCACATCCATCACAACTATGTGATGACACTGCCACCACCCCCAACCCAGAGCACTGCTATTCAGATATAGTATTGCTGACAAAAAAGGTATAAGTGACACTTTCGATAGCTAACTGCACACAGGGGGGGCCTAAACTCGCCCACCAGAGCAGGAGGATTCGAAATTCACAAGGGGTTTACATTCACTTCTATGGACCACTGCATCACCAAAAGAAACTGGCCTAGAATATTCTGCATTTATGAGAGCTTTGTTATATCCAGATCAGCCCTGTGACCTGTTTCTGCAACACACAAACGTAGACGCACAGGCACACACCAAATTTAGAAATATGTTCATACCTACATCTAAAGGTAAAAATGGTATCCCACAGAAGATAATAAAATGAAGTACAGCCTGAGTGTCAATAAACATGGTTCCTTATCAGTTTTTATAAAACAACAACAAGACACTATGGTGGAGTATTGCGTTTAACATGAGCCATCACTCCTATTATTACAATCAGTCTGCATTTACTGGTATCAATATTGTTGTCCATATTTGGAATGGAACATAAACAAAAACATGTGAAGATGAAAAACCAGACATCAAAATATACTATTCCCCAGGACCTGCATTGGAGCGCTGATCATTTCAAACAGAGGAATAACATATTAATGCAACATTTTTGGAGATTTTGTGTGATTCTTTAAGAATCTCAGATATAAGAATCTGAAAGAGGGCACATCACTTGGGAAGAGTTTTCTTTTGCATGGTAATTTCACATAATGCAGTGAAGCAGGTTAACTACATGACCATAAAATTCGTGTTAGTGAGTCACGTGTTAAGTGCATTTTATTGGAAAAAAAAAAACTATTACAATGATGGGGGGAAAAGAGGTAGAGGGTGGCAATAAAAGGAGGCTTCATGTAACACAAAGGGCTATTTAGCAAAAAAATAAAGGTGTTACCTACCCTTGGCCCCTCGCAGCACAAACCCGAATCCCTCATTGTCCTTCTTCTGCAGAACCACTGTCTTCTCGTCAATAACGCAGTCGCTGTGGAAAAAATTTCGCGCATAGCGCCCGTTATTACACCCCATCATCCTCATCATCGCCACAGCCGCTCTTCCCGAGTGGAGGTTCATCATGATCAGAGACGGCTTCTAGCGGAACTAATCATCTATTTAAATTGAGAGAGTGACAACGCCGCCAGCCCGGCGACCACTTCCTAAGAAAAAAGCCACCTCTGTTGCTGAAGACGGAGTTGTCAACCGGGTAACGACGCACGGAGGCCTGAGCCGGCGGGGGATCGTGACGTCGGAAAGAAGCATTACCGATTAAATATATAATTATATCAACGAGAAGAAATGGGGTAGGCAAAGCAAAAATCGCGGCGGAAAAAAAACAATTGCGACCTAGGAAAACAGGCGCAAAGGCAGCATTAGAGCGCAGGCACTGTGGCTGGAAGGCCGTGGGTGAACGAGTGAATGGAAGCGGACTCTGCTGTCATCAGCGGGGCGGTGGTGAGAGATGCAGGGGCGCAGTCTGGGTGCCTCTCAATGGCATTTTCATTAATGCAATTCCGAAAATCTAGGCAAGCGTCGCTCGTATCGATCAGAGAGAGGGGCGCAAAAAGTGAATCCAGTAATTATGACATTGCTGACGTCGCCGTCGTCGTTTTCTTCAACAATAAATCCACCTTTTATAGTCCATTGGTTCCAGTAGCAAACGCTGCAAGAAGGGAAAAAGCAATCGTAGATATCGTGGGTCGTTTTGCTGTACCAGAAGCTCCCGCACTCCCCTTCTGCCGTTGAGCGCCGCACGCTGCTTGCAGCCCATATGATCGCGCTGACAGCCCACTCCGCTAATAGCGAGTATCTTGTTTCAACGTCAGCAGCCAAGCTATCCTCCAGCACTGAGCGTTTACATAATGCAATAACTGACGAGGGGAAAAAACACGAAAAACAGTAAAGTTCAGAGTAAACCAAATGCCATTTCCTCCTCCCATACCCCCTGTATTACATTCAGTGACGGGAAAAGCAGCATCTATTCCCGGTGTAAAATTCACGGTCGACTTTGTATGTACTGCTTGAGACAAACAACAAGCAAAATTATTTGTATGTAGATATTTCATATAAATATATTTTAATAACTATGCCTTCATGAGTTTGTGCAAGAAAATTAAGAAGCTATTTAATATTAACTGCAACTAAACATGAATCACGTTTGATTTATCTGAAGTACCTGGGAAATTCCACATAAATGCATTTCATGAGCCTCAAACTTTCCTTGATCAGCTGATTTTATACCTGTTGTTTTATTTCCTAATGATGTCATTGAGAGTGCCTGTAGAGTTACCAATGTGTGCACTGCAGTAAACAAGTGCAAGGGCACAGCACGCACACACAAGCATTATTTTTCCCCCCAAAAGTAACATTTTCGCAGTTTCTTAAAGGCTAATGAAATGTCGTCACTGATTATGCACACTTGTCTCGCCACAGTCGTTAAGTAAACCTGCATTTTCCCGCAGCTATGCCAGAGGGATTTTGCTGCAGAAATTTAGAAACGGGGAGAGATGATTCCAGCAGGGCCAGCCGCGCCCGGCTGCTCAGTTACCGTAGTAACATCATCTGTTTTTAGAGGAAGCCACCGGCTTGTCAGGGTGCAACGGGGCTATTAAAATCCTGCTCCGCTGATGAATGCCATCGCTTTGAAACATCATCGTTCTGTTAAAATTGTTATTATAGCATGTATTACAGTGTGATCAATTTAACCTCTCCTTGCCGTTTCTGGAGCAGCCCATCCTTTATCTCATATGGGTACAGTGACGGCCAGTGGCAGAGTGTTAAAGATTAATGATAGCTTCAAATGCCTCGCTGGCCGCTCGTCCTTCAGTTTGTGCTCCTTAATCTTACGTGCGTGTAACGCACAGGCTTTGTAGAGTATCGCTTTGTCACCGTATAGCGGCCGGATTTCCAAACACTTTGTCGTTAACAATAAATGAAGACGGAGTCGTCTGCCCTCCCTTGGCCTATTTACCAGCATACTCGCTTGGGCATTTTGTGCCTCGTGTAATATTAAGAGATGCTTTCTCCTTTTTAAAATAAATGAATAAATTCTAAAGTTAAATTGTTTATAAACAATCACATTCAACAGTGTTGTTAAAGTTACAGCAAATCTGATGTACAATCAGCAAAATATATGCAGATAAATTTCTTAAATATTATTTTGAAAGATTTCAGTTGTTGTTGGTCCAAATTGGATGATATGTTATTGGATTACATATATTAAATGGAAATTAAAAAAAAAATAAAAATAAAAATAAAAATTATTCAGTCCTGAAAACCCTTGACATAATTTCTTATAAAAGAATTCAGAAAGGCATTATACTGTACAAATACTTACTCAATCATTTATCTATTTACATTTTGGCAGAGGAGTACCTGCTTTCAAGAGACTCTGTACCCACTGGGTTAAATGCAGGGCAGTTTTTCTAGCTATTGAAAAAAAAATCAAGGGCTAAGTCAAGTTTACCTGGGGCTTGACTTTTTTTTTGAAGGAAGACTGGCATCAGGGGTAAAATACTCAGGGCTATTGCCCCAAGTGACCGGACCTAACAAAGCCCGTAGTTAAATGCATGTTTTCCTTCTTTGCATTTGAGCATTAGCCCATTGTAAAAAAGGAGGAAAAAACCTTGAAAGCAAATCTTGACAGTCAACCACTCAACCAAACCAGTAACAGGTTACAATAAAATGTCAGGTGACGTTTAGTCAGTGGGATTAAGATCTCTCTCCTAGTAAAAGTCACATCACAGGTGGTACCAACAGAGGGAGGCTTCTGTTACAGATACATTGGCATCAAAGGTTATGCCCTCCAAAACATCAACGTGCCATAACAGTCCTTTTGTTAAGCTGTAGTCAACGTTACATCATACTGCACCAGCAATGCCAAGTTGTTGGCCCTCTATCAGCATAATCTAATAGTAGCTAAATAGTATATACTGTATAAGGACAGGTTCACCTTGTGTCAGGTACATACTGAGCCTCTATCATTTCAGTTTGGATATTTCTATAGAGCATAATGTTCCTATGTCCAAGGGAGCATACAATATAAGAAGGTGTACTGGGCACACAACTATCCAATTAATTTTTAAATGAAATTCAAACTGATTTTCATTCAGTTTCAGCAGACAAGTTTACATGGGAGCTCATCTCACACCAAATGAAGAAGGTGCCTCACATAGTTTTCTTTCACAAAGACTTTGCGTATAACAGCCAGATGCTGATATAAATTTTGAATGATGAAATTCTGAAATTATATATCTAATTCAAAATGTAATCACAAATACATTTTATGATGGAGAGAAAAATATTCCTTACATCTGGTTGTTTCACTGTAGCTTTCTACATCTGCAGTAGGAACTACAGTATCTCCACTTATTCAACCATGAAATTTTGTACTTGACTGTGCTATGGACTCTGGCCATTTTACTTTGGCAGTAATTTTCGTTTTAATTAATAATTTTTGTTTGATACTTTTGTTTGATTTTGATACTAACATTATATCTAAGAAATACAAACATCATAAAAATGTAATGTATGTACAACTGACATATACCAGAACATACAGGTTTCATGACAGAAATTAGCAAAAAAAATTGTATTAAATGCCTATTACTAATTCAAGTGGTATTGATATAGGTGTTTAGAATGCTTTTGTTGTACAGATGCTTCAGTTTCTGAGAAAGCGATGACATTTTACAAATAAAAATCAGTACATCTTGATAGTCATCACTTTCCTGGAAACGTGCTTCAGAGTGGCACGTACACAGATGTCCGTTGTTGTCTAGGCAACCCATCCACGTGTCAGGGCCACAAGCTCCTCAGATGGCACTCAGACAGTAGGTTGCCCATAAAGTTCTCTTAGAACTGAGTCACCGCTTGCAAAGGTTGATCAGCATGCAAGGGGTGAGTCAGGTGTTGTTCTGCTCAGCTTGTTGCAACAGAACAGATCCCCGATCAGGCTGGACATGGCCCTAAAGAGTATGAAGTACCCTGGCTGACACTGACCTGATTAAATAAAGTGTAATTGTGGGACACAGCTGGATATTTATATATGTAAAAGCATGCTGCCTGGATCTGCCAGTTCCCGCAAATATGATTTCCCCACAATTCACTCATAATTAGTGCTGTGAGGATCAATAACCCCTTGACAATAAAGGCAAATAAAGATGTGGAGAGGCTAGCTGTTGGAATAGACATCTAATAGGTTCTGTCAGGAAAGGTTAAAGTAATTCACTTTATGCTGTTTTTTGGTTGTTTCTTACCCCTTAACTGGTACTCATTTCGGATAACAATTATTAGGCCCTCTTGTCTCAGGCTGGGGGCTACATGAAGTACAGTGGCCATCTGTCTCACACCAAATTTAGATCACCTATTCAACCAACCAAGTTCAGCTCGACAATCCGTCACTGGAGGAGAGGTGGTGTAATGGTGCCTGACTGTGGCAAAAATCTGGTTGCAACTATTTCACAAGGATAAATGTGTATAGGCAGCTTTTAAACGGATTACTTCAGTTTGGTTCCCCTGTGCTATACTGTTTCCAAAACAAATCAATAACTAACGGAGATCCAGTTCACAAAAAAAGCACTCTCAAAAATGCAGGAAAAGGTAACTGAACAAAAAAATCTTGTAAAAATCCGGATCACATCAAGGGATACACATTCACTGTGAGGCCGACCCCAAAAGAAGTGGAGCAATGTGACACTAATATGCTTGTTTGTTTGTTTTTTTTTTTTTTTTTTTTGAGGCGGCAGCTTGCAATGTTTACTGGAGCAGGGCTGAAATATGGCTTGACGTAGCTGGGCAGTGATGGATAACATATTTCACTGTCAATGGACATATGTGGCACTAGTGGATAAAGAAAGCATCACTGTGTAGATGAAAACTGGTAGACAGTAATGGACTTGCTGTGGCTCAGGAATGCAATGGCCCCAAAAATGGTTATATTACAGTCTCTGTGTGACCCCTTCTAAGCAAGCCTCCAATAATGATAACAATTCTGAAGAAGTTGGGGAGTCTTTTGGAGGAGATCGGTTTAAAAACTGAAATGGCAAAAGGCTCCTGCAGTTATTGTGATTCCTTTGCTGAGCTCTAAGCATCTTTCTTGAGTCCTCTGGGCGAGATCATGTGGCAAGCAAACAATGATTATCGTGTCTGCTCTTTTGTCTTATGTTTTGGGTCTTCTGCAATGTTAACTCTGGGAGCTTGTCTTGAGATACATTTTTCTGCCATTTATTTACATAAAAGGGTCTTGCTCAATGGCCCAAAAGTGAAATCACCCAGTTATGGGATTTGAACTGACATTCTTCTAATCATGGGCACAGAGTCCTAAACTGCAGAACCACACACTGCCCTTTACTGTGTGAAAATCCCAAAGTAGTGTCTCTTTACAATAATATTTAGATAAAAAATTACACCAGTTTTATGATATATTATTAGACAAGTGTTAGATTACAATACATGTACAAAACTGTCATGTTTTCATACTTTTTCTTGTTTGAAATTTTTACAATACTGACAGGGGTTTCAGTTCCCTACCTTGAGGCATCGAAGCTGTCATAGGATCCCACGGTGTAGTGTCTGAAGAGCTTCTTCCTCTCTGATCTGTCCGTTCTGGTTTCTGCAGAGATAAGGGGACCAACAATCAGTTCCTGGAGGAAATATCAGGCAATAATCTGTGGACGTTTAAGCCATGAACAAGACACCGCATCCCTGATATCGCACACCGGGCTGATGACAAGAAATTGCCAGATCTCAGCACACTTATCTGAGTGTCCTAATTATTTACTTCGAGGGTAAAGTGCTCTTTGTGAACTGCAGATAATCATTAGTGTTCATCATGGCTCTGAGCAGCCTGCTTTAAGTGACCCTCCAGGCACTGACACTGCTTGAGGATAAAGTTTAAATCCCAAGTCATGCAAAAAAAACAAAGTCACTTGAACCTTGCTGTTGGCTGTAGGAGTTTGTACTTCACACATTTCTGTCACAGCATTAAAAACAAAATCAGTATTTATGAGAATCATCCTATCCCATATGTTTTTACAATATGAAACACAAATGATTAACTAACAAACAAATAAATAAATCGGGTTGTACTTGTAAAATTTTGGTGTTTAGAAGATTTGAGAACTTGACTGTTCAATAAGTCGAGCCAAAGACAGTCGGCGCAAAAACTACAGGAAAGAGAATGCTGGAGTCGTCTTTTATGGAGCTCAAGACGGCACCTCCCACACACGCTGCAAGCACACTGCAACTGATTCAGGAGCAGCTAAGAAACCACCCCACAGCAGCTCGGTGAAAATTAAAAATATCTTGTACTCAGAGATGACATCAGTGAAGTCCTTCCATAGAAGACAGAAGGGCAGCAGAGCCCAAGCACCAAGGGCACGATGTTTTCATCGTAATTGTTCCAGCACGGGAGAACATCCACATAAATATTCTTTGCGATGATGAGCAGCACGGCAACTATGGTACAGCCAAGCTCACCAAACATGGAGGACACCTGCTTAGGGCTGCATGTAGATGGCCTGATTTAAACAGGGGATCTGTGACCTTTGTGCACCACCCAGCTGAGGGAACGTTACTCGGCATCCCCTTTTATGACCCTTAAAGGGGCTCTTGTTCCCTGAAGGCTGAGTTTCCTACCAGCTAACATATGGGCTGAGATGTGCACACTTTAACCCTGGTACCCGTTGGGCCAGCTGAGCACGGAGAGATGATTACGAGCAATTGAATGCATTGAGGATGGTTGTGGATTCACAGTGAAGTGGCTAAGGACACCACAGCTGATCAATGCTGTTCAATTATAGTGCTGGAGACCATTGCAGGCCTTTCTGATGCAGATGGAAGTGCAGGCCAGGGGCAAGTGTTGCCTCTCTATTACAGCAAGCTGAAGCGGTACTGATAAGGCTCTTACTGACTGTAAACCCTTTAAATGCCAAGCCAACTGTTAAGAATAGGGCCTCCTGCAAGCCCAACACCAGCTAAAGAATTGTGTGTTCGCTCAGCAGGAAAGCGATTCACTCAGCGAGGTGCCACACATTTCCGTTGCTGATATTACATCGATGGAGGGGAAATGTGTCTCGGCACAATAACTGTTGTAATTCCAACAGACAAAGGACAGATTATTTCAAATGGGCGGCGCCAGCAGGGTTTAATTGCAGGCCCAAGAGCACCCTGACAGCAGCTTCCGTTTGACCTTGTGACCCCACGAAAATACCGACCATCAGTGCCATGTCACTACACCTCTGCTATCAGAAGACTGTGTGAGATTCGGCCCTTTCCCCTTGCGACCTGCATTTAGCTGCTTGACTGCTGGCGGAGGCCGGAGGAGCCTGGCTGCCGCCATCACTTCGGCTGCTCTGTCGCCTCTAGACTGGATTCACACCTCACAGATCAAGTCCAAACGCAATTGCAAACAGTTTTATTTTAAGGGTCTGCCCAGAATCATCTCCCTGCTAGGTACAGCTGGCGAGCACCAAGAAAAGGCAGCTCTGTCTTGATGGATCCCTGCTCCTTTTCCCCCCCAAGAGCCATACCGTCTGGGCTCTGGGACCAGCTGAGCTCACAGTTCCCAAGTAAAAGCTCTGGAGTACACCCAGCACACCGGTGCGTAAGGAGACACGGCGCTGACAGTGGACTGTGAGCACTGCACCCTGAGATGCTGCCACCTTAGGAGCTACATTGGAAGGCTCGTATGGCCAAGCTGCCGGAGCTCGGAATACACCAGGACTGGAGATCCACACCAAATGTGCCTCACAGCTTCTAAACCACCCCAAAACAGACCTCAAAAACACAGAATTCCCAGTAAAAATTTACTCTGACACTGAATCTACAGCTACTTAAGTTGTCTTCGACCATGTTTCATTATTCCCTGAGATGAGCTTTTTTCCACATTTCAAATAAATAAACCAAAGACAAACATAGCCCCATGTCTAGCATTGAACCACAAACAAGATTCTACTACCATTACCTTGAATAACAATTAAGCAAATCAGACAATAAGACAAATCAGTCAATTCCTGAAGCATTCAGCATTGTAGAGCAGGCAAATGAAGCTAATCAGCAGGCCCAGCCTACTGGCCCTGGATCTGCAATGCAGACAGCATTCATTTCACAAGCTTAAGCAATCCTGTCCATCTGGTGCTATTTCTAACCCAAATTCAGAAGCACAGCCCCACAGTACCTCCAAAATGAACTTTCTTCCTACACTTGGGTGTCTCTTCCATTTGCCCCCGCTGTCCCACTTCTCTCCAGCTGACTGCAGTTCCCCGGAAACACAGAGGCTTCTGAGGTGAGGAGACTAGCTCCACCTTTACCTCCTCAGACCCGCGGCGCCCACAAAATCGTGCCCACAAAGTTTCGAGTATCCCAGATGAGGTGAGTGAGCAGCCATAATCGCCACCGTGGGAAAACAGGAGAGACCGCGACACGGACGAAGAATCCTATTCAAGCTCCGTTGTTAGTGCCGGGAGAGAGAGAGAGAAAAAAGTACAAAAAAAAAGAGGAGAAAAAACCTATATCATGCCAAGGCCCACTCCATAGCAACCGGGGTGTACAGTGTAGAGAAGGTTTCCATGGAGATGCATCAATCAGGAATGTCCATGAGTGTTGCACTGAAGAGTTTCTGAGAGACTGGAGCGATTACACAGTCTGTAGATTTGACGAATGTGGAGAAATATACATTAAAATGACCCCTTTATTCCTGTACCGGAAATATTTGCAAGAGTAATTCTACTACTATTATTATTATTACTACTACTACTACTACTGCTAATAATAATTATTATAATAAAATAATAATAATAATAATAATATTTTACAGGAATAATTATTGTCATAATTGAATATAATCAAGTAAATCAAGCATCATATAAGACGTTAAACATTTTACATAGTCCTGCTACAAATGATTTCTTCACCAGCAGGTGTTAACAGATGAAGTGTGATATTTAAACATTTCATTTGGGGTGAAAATAAAACAATTGGGATTACAGCTAGAAAACATCTTCAAATGTTACATAAAATTCTAAAGTACAAATTAGAATATGACTGTTTTAAATCTTAATTCTTTCCATTTGAAGGACATGTGTCCAGGTCAACAAAATCTGACTGAACATTTAAACAAACATTCATCCAATGGGCATAAATAATTAAATGTTCCATTTATTGAATAAACAATTTAATGACAACACTCCTGGCTTTATTATGTTTCCCATCAGAAGAGCTTCTACTTTATGCGACCAATCGTGAATGTAGTATGTCTTGTTTGTTTGTTTGTGTGTGTGTGGGGTATCTTTGGCTTGTGAGTGCATGCACTGAGAAAAGAGGAAAGAAAAAACCAAAGATGATGCATATAAAGAGTGAAAGATGATGATGTTGTTGATGATGATGTTATTATTATTATTATTATTATTATTATCATCCTCATTATCAGAAATTGAGGACTATAATGTACACATCTTCATGGGTGTGCATGTTCATGTGTGTCTACACACGTACCCTGTGCATCCTTTGCATGAGCATTCTTTGGGTGTGTGGGTGAGGCTGCAGTGAGGTGGGCAAGAGTAGGAGTGAGCTGGGAGATCTACACTGGGCCAAAGCGAGCAGCAGGGGCACCTTCAGTGTGCGAACGTGCGAGCACGCATGTGCACACTCCAACTGAAACGCCATAGAGACAAGGAGCACACTCCTCCCACACAGACCCTTTGTGCCAGCACTAGTCCCAGTTCTACACATCCTTCCCAGTTCCTGTGGCGGACACAGATAAAGCTCAGCCCTCTAGATCCATGCATGTGTGCTTTTAGAAAGCAGAGACACCGCATCTACAGCTGGTGCGACTGCACACAGCAGAGGGCACACACCAGAAAGGTGCATGCGTGTGAAAGTACATTTGAGTGTATGGGTTTATTAGGTCCTGTTACTGAAGCTGATGCTGACTGAAGGAGCAGCATGCAGTGGCCACCCCCTGGATAGACTTAAATGACAGTGAAGAAGTTTCTGTGTAATCTGCCTTGTCCCTAGAGAAAGGTTTTGTTTCCTTGAGGATGCTGGTGATTCTGGGATGCCCTTTCACTCCAATGGTAATCTTTAGTTCTTTAATCTTTAGTTCTTTAGGCAGTGGTGCCTTAATGGTTAGAAAAGCACACTTGTAATTGAGAGGTTCGAATCCCCGACCAACCAGGCAGCACTAAGGTACCCTGAACAAGGTACCGCCCCCAAGCACTGCTCCCCAGGCACTGAATTAGCTGCCCCCTGCTATGTCACGACATCACATATGGGCTAAATGCAGAGGACACATTTTATTGTTGTGCACTGTAGTGTGTCAACACTGATCACTAAATTCTAAATGCAATATGGGAGCAAGCTTTAATTTTGTGAGCACTCGGCCTTTCAATTTGACAAACTTTCAACACAGTGAGATTACGATCAATTAAAAATCATCACTGTGTCTGTCTTATTCGAATCTTTCTATCTTTCTGTGATTTAGGTAACTAGATCTGCTGTGGTTAGGGCTGTCACTATCAATCATATTAATATTAGAGCAATCTAATGATTAATGTGAGTAATCACTTTATAATACTTGGATAGCAATTGACGCACAGTCACTCACACATGCGGTCAATTTAGGCACTCCTATTAACTTAAGTTGTGTGTTTTTGGATTGTGTGCAGAAAGTGGAAGATGCAACATGCAATCTCCACTCACACAAAGTGGTGTGTGGTGACAGCTCCACCCCCGACAATTATCATATAGGAAAAACCATAATAGAATTTCCACTTTACCATTTAGTTTTCAAAGTCTATATGCAAAAATCCTGCCAAAATGAAAATTAAAATGAAATTGTACCATTTACATTTTAATTTTCCACTCATTAAATAATTCAGTAATTTTAAATAATCCAGTAATCTTGACAGCTCTAGTCGTGGTAAACAGTTAAATGCTATTGAAAAAGACCTTCTCCTGACAGTCAATATAATAATATAACTCCTTTTCACTTCTGCTTAAGAAATCCTAAGCACATCCTGACTTTCAAATGCTTGTATTAACACAAACATCCAATGGCTATAAAGTTAGCTATTCAACCAAAATAGCGATATTCACATCTGCAGACGCTTGACGTAGGAAGTCAGAGTAATCATGTTACCAGCAAGCTTGTTAGTGTTTTATCAATGGGAGAGTTTATAAAGATTTCAGCATACGCCTTGTGTTACAGCCCGGCAGGCCAGCCCTCATTTTCCAGTGAGGAAGAACTCACAGTTGTGGAAAGATCTGCAGGTTTAGGAATTAAACTGTGGTGAAAAAACACATCTAAAACTAATTAATGGAAATTTCCTAAGCCCTTAAACTTGTATAGTTTTTTGACAGTTAAAAAAAAATCAGAATATGCATCACAGAGAAGTTCCTCCAAGACTTCAGACTGTGGAAATATCCAATGTACAGGCCTCCTCAACTGCAAGGATTTAATGACATCCAGGTCACACTATAAAATTCACAAAAAAGCTGCATAAACACTTATTTACTACAAATTACACATAACAATGTGGCTTCATATTCCAAAATGTAAAACAGTCACTCTACCTTCATGCTAAATATAGCTTAATTTTGAGGTACAATGAAGAATCATTAACCCAGCCTATGGTAAAGAAAAGTTGATGCCTCAGCGATAGAATTCAAACATCCGACTTCAGAGGTCTGAGAAGGAAGGACCGCAGAGTCCCTCTAGAATTTTGCGATGAATGCTAAATCAAGCAAACTGCAATGCAGGAGATTGCAATATTTCAAAGTTGCCACAACATTCCCACGAGAAAAGGCCAAATCAGACAGTTTACATTTGAACCATGACACGTAATGTGATGCCATCGCAGCATGTATTCACGTGTATTTTAAAGCATTCACTGATGGCTGTGTTAAAACAGGTTTCTATTTGTAGAGATAAGGGTGTCTCAAAATGTTATTTTTGGCTAATTTGTGAAGCAGTTTCTGAGAAAATGTGTTCTTTCACTTTTCATTGGACAGGGATGACATGTATCTTTCTTCACTGGTAGTACTTTAACAAATTCATGAACTTGCAATTTTGCCAAATCATGCAAATTTTCTCCAAAAAAAAGCATATAGAACTCCGCAAGTTGCATTGCAGGCTCCACACAAATAAAGCATTTTTTTCCACAACAATCACAAAAAAAGTGATTTTAAATAAGGGCTGACTAAATATTTAACTCCCAGAGAAATAAAAACCTGGGTAACAAAGAGAACATAGAGCCCTAGGCAGCTGCAGAGAGTGCCAGCACTGCTGGAGCCCAGTCTTGGGTTTATTTCTCCCATCAGCCCTTGGCCAGGGGAAGGCATGGAGATTCATGCAGTGTCTATCCAACCCCCAGGCCCCACCCCACCAAGGATGAAGTCTGCCATGCTGCTTTAACAGACTGTAACTCTGAGCCCCATTTCAAGACTCAACCAAACTGTTGCCTTTATGTCTAAATAAAGCAAATCTGTTGATTCTTGATCCCAGTTGGGGCGGGGGGGGGGGGGGCATAAAGTAAAAGCTTCTCCACTTGGCAGATAACCTGTGTAGGCTGTGTGGTCAACCCTGGGACACTCTCTCCCTGCTTGCAGTCCAAAGAGTAGGGCATAGAGAAGGCAACACTGCACACTAGGCCCATCTGCCTTGTGGAATCAGGGGAGCCAGTGCAGCACAACATGAAAAACGGAGGCAGAGAGCGAAAGTAAGACAGAGCGAGACCAAGTCGATGTCACAGAGGACGGAGCAAGAGACAGACAGACAGACAGACAGACACCAGCTGCTTCCCCACACAAGAAGGTGGCTCACACACATGCCCACACCATGCCGGGCTACAGATGTGAGGCCACTCTCAGGCATCTGGCATCTGTGCCAACTGCATCAACAGGCCCAGATCACTGTGAGGCAAAACAAAGCCATGGCCCATGCAGCAAACAGCTGACGTTTACTATTCTTAACCAGTGCTGATAACTGGCATTCAATTAACCCCCATCATCACAGTGCCAAGCAGCCCATCCTCCCAGTCGCTGAAGCACTGCCCTCACTTACGTGGCCTCTCGTCACTTGGCTTGCTGGGGAGCTCCTCCACGCAATCCGCCGGGAACCATCCTATGTGACCTCGGGCGCTGCCTTCCCAGAAGCCCCCTTCGCCAATGCTCAGGACTGGACCAGGGAACAAAAGAAGAATCGCTTAACAGGCAATGTGTACAGCTGGAGGTCTTCGAATAGGTTTGCACATGCTCTACATTAAATGGAAAGTGCTACCGTGAGAAGCACAATAGGGCTGCAAAAAACAAGGTTAAATGTTATTCAGTAGCTTACCACACCATAAACCTAGCATTTATGTAACTCTTTACCTACTACCCATGCCCATATCCTGCTTGGTATATTTATTGCATAAAATTTTGTAGTAATCAGAACTCTATATGTAGCTGGGAGGCATAATCTGTCGCCCATTCTCTTTACCATCTGGTGAATGCAACTTGGCACCCTAAGTGTTCCTTGCCAGTGGCAGCAGAATGACACAAAGTGTCATGCGCCGGGCACAGTCTGCACACAGACCAAAACCTTCTGCGCTGTTCTCTCCTCATACTTAAAGGGTTGTATGGTACAGGTTAGGCCAAGGACTAGGATAGTCAGCTGGGTTGAGATTAGACATCTAATTTTTCACACCATCACATGGTCTAGTATGGTTGTAATGGTACACATATTCATAGAGTGGTGTCACCATTTTCAGTAGTTACATCATTTTGAGTTAAGAACGCACAACACAATGTATGAATGCATTGCTTGACACAGGAAAAATCTTAATTCAGAAATAGGGCTGGGCGATTTTACATCGATATTATATCGAGGATGTTCAATAATCACCAGGGCTTCAGATGAGAGGTGAAACACTTGGCCGGACGCTAGTTTTACGGTACCAAATGGACTTTTATTTATGGCCACAATTTGTTAAACAGATTAGTTGTGCACCAAAAAAAATCTTAATCAGATGTGCTGTGCAACTCCCAAAAGTTAGTAACCTGTATAAACCCTGTATCTTTATGTTTATTGAATTTGGTTAGCAGAGCACACCACATAATACTGTTTTGGTATACTATGGCTTGGTATTCTTCAATGCAATATACACTGAAGTAGCGGTAAAGAAAGGGACAGCTCAGCAACCAAAACATCTTTTAAAAGAGGAGATATTGTGGATAAACGAGGTAAAAAGACGTTGGTGGTGTGGCGGCACTTTTTGCAGTTGGGAGCCCAACAATTATTTAATGTAAGGATATGCGTAATTTATACTGATTACCAACTTTGGGGCATCATAAAAAGCAATTTTAGGTACACTACTAATGTGGGGTGGCTTTCCCGAAAGCCATTGATCTTGGCAAATAACGAACAAGATAAAGAATGACGTAGGCAAAGGACAAGTGAGGTCTATGAGCGTTTCCCAAAACCCTTTGTTATTTCAGAATTAACAAACGAGCCTCATTTGCGCTAATTTATAATCAACTTCATAGTTTTATATTGCAATATTGACCTCTTATTAATCATCACCACTATTACGTTGTGCATCGATGTGCTTTTCTGATCTGTTTTGGCTGATCTCTATGTCTCTGTGACAGAAGGAAAAAGTTCAAATAAAGAGTGATGCAAAAAATAACGAGTGGGTCGGAGTACTTGTAAATCTATGAACGAGATAAACTAATGTAGTTATGAAGGGTTTCGGGAAATGTGTGCTAATTAACGATCAATCTTAAGTACTAGATAATGAACTACTTAGCATTACGAAACTTTCGGGAAAGCCACCCCTGATTAACAAAAAATTAACAAAATGTTTTGCCCCTCATCTGAAGGTACCCCTTGTGATTATTGTGCATGCATGTATAATAGACGTTATATTGCCCAGGCTTATTCACAAATACATGATCAATATGAAAAGCATTATGATAATTGTGGCTGTGAGTTGTTAATGCTGGTTACAGTCGGTCATAATCAGCAGATATTTTGGTTTCTCAATAAATTACACCAACACCAGAGAAAGAGTAGTTAACATGACCAAGACTGTCTGTGGGCTCTATTATACCAAAGTCAGATATGTTGCTGGAAAAACATCCAACATGCAAACTCATGAGATGACGTCACTTGATTGTGCGTACAATGAGACCAAGACAGAATCAGCCTCTGGAGGTTAATCTCCTTATCGCATCTAAGGCACTTTTGCCAGGAAATTCAGACCAGGCTGAAAATCATTCTGGCTATAGCGGTGTTTATCACTACAGATATGTTGCCATACCCAGTAGCAGAGTGCATAGGATTTTGGACAGGATTTAGTTCATTATAATTGTATAGGCACTTTCACACCGAAGTTCCAGAACTTGGTCCCTGCTTACAAGTCCCTAGGCTGTCTCAACCAGGAACTTTTGCAGCTCCTGGCTACTTTTATGTGTCACTTTCACACCACACAACAGGAACTGGGACCTTTATGATAAATAAGCATGAAACATGCAAAAAGTTCATAGGTTAAACTTCACACACAATTTTATATGAAACTACACCGGCTTTTATATTTTACTTATACAACTTGCGACATGTTTATGATTCTTATTACCTGCAGATCGATCTTTTTTGTTCCACACAATAAAAAATGATGTAACGTTATCCTGCCAATAAACTGGCAAGTTTCACTACCATGATATTAGGCAAAAGCGGATTGGTTATCAATCTAATTTTCCGATACAGAAATATGGAGACGCAACTTATTAACTGACATTTTAAATTTAATTGGAGGTACAAAAATAATTCCATGTGCTCAGTTTTTGCTCTGCTACTTCTACACTACTTCTACTTCCTGCATTTCCACGTAACTTCCAAGTAGGCGCTAGGTGCTTCTGGTCAGCCAATCAGCATGTTATCACTATAAACACAGTACCTACAATGACACGAAAAGGATCCAGTCTATAGTAGTTCTAAAAAAGGGTTCCAGAACAACTTCTGAGGAATTGCAAAATTTTGCAAGTTTTAAATGAATGTTCCTTTTCAAGATTATCTAGTGTATGTAAAAATTTAAATATATACTTTACTTCTGTAATAAGAACCCTGTGAAATATAATTACTATTCTTGGGGTACTTCCACCTTGCTGCAAACCCTTTGAGAAACCTGACAGCATGCTGGGACTGTGAACTGGCTTTATGAATTTAGGTATGTCTCAGAAAACCAGGTGGACTATGGGGAGGCAGTTCTCCATGTGCAGTTCCACATGACATACTGTACTGTAGATCACATTAGCCATGGCCCATTGTGTACTAGGACAGACAGAAGGGCCCAACACACACACAGGCCCCATTAGGGATGGTGTTCCCATCCTGATATTGAGTATATGTCCAATATTACAACTTATATGTTAATCAGTTTCAACAATATGCCCCATAACTTGGTGAGAAGTAGCAGCTGGGGAGAAGGTTGTATAGCAAGAAACACACCAGGAATCCCATTTTTTATTTTTTTTTTTAAATATGATTCAAATTGATTCAGTTAGCCAAGGGGTACCTAAGTTAGTTAGTACACATTCATAAATGCTGAGCCTCACCTTTCACCCTGTCGTTCTTGTAGAGGGGGATTTCTCCTTCTGCTAGGGGCTGATAGGACTTGACCACCACGAAGTGCCTGCCAGGCACAGCACTGTACAGCTTGCGCTTTGGGCCCTGGTGCTCCGGACCAGGGTGGCCCTCCCGGCTGGAGCTGGGGCTGCGGGAAAGAGCAGGGGGATCACGGTGAGGAGAGCTGGCCGACCACCTACAGTCTGCATCAGACTGGCCTCATCTCAACTCCCCCTTGAGCGGTAAACACATCACTACACCACTGCAATAATCATGTTTGTTTTCTGAAACACAAATGGGTTTCATTGTTTTTAAAAGTCTTTTATAGATTTGTGCTCCTGCTGTCAACCTAATTTTACCATAGGGCATCCATAAAGCATATTCTGTACTATTTTATTTAAACTATTTCACATAAAAATAGCAGTAAGCACAGGAAACAGGGTCAAATGAAAGAATATGTGCAGAACTGTGACGCTGACGTCTTCATCAATAAGGGAGCATTCAGTATGACACAAACTACTTAAAATAGCCACATATAAACAAAAGATCTCACACACCACAGAGCATCAGCATACACAGGTAAGATTGAACATTAGTAATGTATACACTAATGGGAGTCCATGCAAAAAACGATTAAAGATACAACACATCAATCTATATTTCACAGCAAATTAATTTTAACACGACAATACAGAATGATTGCACTATTACCACTAAATTATTGTTCAATTGTGTCTGGAAGAACTATTATCAACCTCTGTGCATCTACAGTACGACAAGCTTCTGTTTGTATCGTTGGCTTTGGTAGGCTCACCAGACTCAAATATTTAAGATGTAAAGTGACGTGTGGGTTCCCTCTAGTGGACAAAAGAACCAATATTTATGAGCTACTTCAGGAGAGGTCACATCTGGCCCATCTACCTTCAAATGCATTTTATTTTAGTTAAAAAATATTTTTGGAATAGCCCAAATCCAAAAATCATTTTGTGCACATGTTTTATTCTTGGATTAATCAATTTCTGCACAATACAAATAATACATATCTTAGCATCTCTATAGGGAAAGGGCAATGAAAGAAATTTGAAGTGGTTCATGTGCAATATTACTACCCCTTAAAACTGACTCATGTTCATCTTCCTAATCGCTTAGATTAATTTTAATACGCACGGAATACAGACTGAAAATAATACAGATCTGTGCAATACTGTACATCAGTTTGCTAACATTAACGTTTGACTGTAATCACACATGCAACTTTTCACTATAAGAATACCAGTGGAAAAACAACCTCTCTCAGCAAAAAGAAAAATAAGGAGATAATTACATTACTAAAAATTTTTGAGTGGGGTTCTGTACTTGCAGCTTTCAAGTGATCTCATCTCAAATAACTGGTGTACCTGAAGTACAATAGAGTGTTTTTCATTTGAAAAGTAGTTTTGACACATTTAACACAGCAAACTATCTAAAAATAAAAAACAATCAAAAGTCAAGATAATTCTCTCGTCAGTTTGTCTTTTGCTACACTCTTAAGATCCCTTGTTTAGATACAGAGTGAGCCATGTTGCGTAAGTGCAGAAGGCTGCGTAAGTGCAGAAGCCACTTTCCTACACAGTGAGGGGACTGGGTGAGCTGCAAGTAGGCCACAGGAAGATGAGCTGAAGGTTAAACCAAGCTGGATATAGAGCCTAATTCACTGTGCCTGCAGAACTGATAAGACTCCATTTGGGATGCAGTCTAATTAAAACAACATATGAGCACATTCATTAGCTCTTCCAAATAGCAAATTGTCTGTTTCATTTTAATGACCGTTTTCCAAAAAAATAAAAAATAATAATAATAATAATCAGTGACATTATCATTGCATGTCTGTGTTGTTTACTGGTCTTTGACAACGGAGCAATGAAGAGGAAAGAAACTTATTATTGTAGTAACAATAGTACTAGCAGTAGTAATAATGAAAACATGTACTGTAGTCTATGAGACCACAAACAAGGTCATTTAACATTTGCCTTACTAGACAGACTGATCATAGACAAGCAGCATGCCACAAAATTAACATGACCTGAACAACCTTGTATGCCAACACACAGCTGTGAGGCAGGACAACAACCTCCTGGTACATGGAGCAAACCACAGCCCACCCCTAGCCTCCCACACAAACTGACATAGTCAGAAACAGGATCTCTCATCCGTACCTGGAGCATTTACCAAGGCCAGCACAGTGCAGCCTGGCAGCAGCAAGAGCAACACAGCAACATCAGACGTGGCCCTACCACAGCACCATCCATCCTCACCGGTGAACTGTACATTTACTTGTTTAGCAGATGCTTTTTGTCCAAAGCAAAGCACAACTGAGGATCAACTATGAGCAACTGGGGTTAAGTGCCTTGCTCAAGGGCCAACAGTGATATGCTGACTCTGTGGACCACAGGATATGAACTCACCTTCTGGACATGGGCACAGATTCCTAACCAGAGGAGCTATACACCAGCCCAGTAATACATGGGTCCACTGCTCTGGATCTTTTTCTTACCCACAGTAACATTGCGTTGTTGTCATCAACACTCTTCAACAAGGCCAGGACTTGACCCAAAAAGTACTAGCCTATGACAGCAATACAAAACTCTTATCAGTATTCCAGTGGGAGCCACATGGTGGGGCTGGTATTGAAATAATGAGGTGCCGATGCAATGGCAGTAATTACCTAAGCTGTATCCTCCTCAAGTGACCTGTATATGGAGCCATCACACTAACATGTATTCTATAGACATGCAATACGGAGGGGAAGAGATGGAGAGGAGATCAACTTAGTCATTACATATTTATCTGCATTTACTCAACCTGGAGAGAGACAAAACTCCCACTTGCTCATTTTGCCTTAAAGTAAACTACAGACATATAATGACAAAAACAGCTGTACTCAGGGTTTAAATACCTTACAGTATGTCCAAATCGTACCTTGCCAATATTAACATTTTTTTCTTAACGTCTCAAAATTTAGTAAAAGATTCAAAGTGAGCAGTTTAATAGAAGGTTAGTTTTGCACTAAAAAAAAGTTTTTTTTTCCTTTCAGCTTAAGTGTTCATTTTCATTTTAGTAGCTCTGACCAGTCACTCATTTCTCAAGTGGATGAGATATTCCTATATGACGCCCTGATTTCTGTCCGGTGTTTTTGTGTTTTGATTTACTGTGTTTACCTTACTGCTGCCAAAACATCACCTGCTAGCTAGACTCTGCTACAGGCACAACGTATGTAAGCGGCAATAACTTGATATTGATGCATTTTCACAGGGACATTACGAACGAATAAGCAAGAATATTACTTGTAGTGATTAGGCATTTCCATGCTTTTTTAAGTTTCATTTATAGCCACCCCCTCACATTTGAGCGGGTTAGGGGTGGAAGCTCCCTGCAAATCTGAAAATTCATGAATAGCCTCCTAACCTGAAACCATAACAGTCTATCAATATGACCGATAACATAAAAAGTCCATTTATTACCAATTTCTAAACAAACTTTCTAGACTTTCTAGACTTTCTGCCACAAAGCATATCTAGCAATTTTTATGTCACAGTCATCACAACCTTTTTCCTCTTAGAAACACTTTCAGAAGCTCTGGGAGCACTATGTTTTGGACCCATTATTTAAAATGCAAAATTAATGTGATCGATAAGTGTAAAAGTTACTGCAAGGAACGAGAGATTCCATGGTCACAAAGACAGCTACCATGCAAGTCAGGCTGGTTTCCGAGACAAAGATCTGCAGCTTACCCAAGCCAAGATGTGTAGATGAGTGTTTTTTTAATTTGACCAAAAATAACTTTTACTATTAAAAATACAGTATGCACAATAAGATATTGAATAACATTAATATATATCATTTTATGCGATCCAAATCATTCTCAGTATTGTTTATAATTCTGGCTTATGTGTTTTCTGTGAGTTTCTGTGAACTTTTGGCAAGTTCCAAAAATGTTATTGTTCACGGCCAACTCGCGAATAACCAAAACTGCGAATGTCAAATTCACAAACCTGCAGGGACGACTGAACATGTTATTTTTCAAAAAAATCAAGTATTATTTAACCATACGATATGTATGCATATGTAATAAAAATAACTTTATCACATTTTCCAATTTATTTTGTATTGATTTGCACAACATGCTAACAAATGAACACATCGCATCTTTAAGACTTAAAGACCCCCCCCCACCACCTTACTGGGCTCTCTCTCCTCTCTGATTCTGATTTAACCCCAGCTACACTGATTTATTAATGCAACAAACAATTCATAAAGATTATACAGATACACTATGCAACAAAGACTTACATATAATACAGAATTACATACTGAACAAAATGTCACAGATGTGATTAGATAGGTTACGTATTGCATGAGCTATCAGTAAACATGGCATGTGCAGAAACATACAGCACTTCAAGGCATAGCTTCAACCCTGGGCCCACTTATGTGATCGCTCTGTATATCAGACCACTGTTACTGTAGCCAAAACACACTGGGGTCCGGAGCCACGAGGTAGCCCAGTTTGCCTCATTGGCAATCAGTGTTGTCCCCCCAACAGCTCCTCTCCTCCCTAGGGCCAAGTGGGACGCGTTTCCATAGCATGCAGTGTGGCGCAACAGAAAGTGGGGCAGAGCTCCATAAAGCCGGGCAAGGAGCGCAGTCTCTGGGCACTTGTGGCCCCGGGTGCCGGTATCAAAGCGCTGAAGGTCAAAGCCAAAGGCAGCTTCTAGGGGGAATGAACTCTGACAGAGAACTGGGGCAGTGCAAAACCATCTCCTTCATAAGGTACTCTCATATCCCACATGAATTAGTCCCTCATTTTGCAATATTAACATGTGCATTGTAGTCACTGTTAAACCACCACCTAATGATCAACACAAATAAGAGTCACAAAGATAAAGATAAAGAACCGTCTGTGACCTGTCTTTTTGTCATTGGAGAGACTGAGCACTGCAATGAGAGAACTACAGAAAGGCATGAAGAAGATGCTGTGGACAGGAAGTGGGCTAGAAGATCAGCAAAATGAGTGCATAGGAAAGGAAGGAGAACCTAAGTGTTATACTTTACAGTGCCATTTGGGGTTTGAACAGAAAACGTTAGGAGGTCATAAAGCAAAAATGTGAGTGAAAAGCAAAGCAAGCAAACAATGCGTAATGTGTAACATGAAAACAGATCGAATGAAAATCTAACATCCAAACAGATCTAAAAGAAAGCTCTCACTCTACTTGCTCATTCGCAAACTTAACACGTTACACAACACCTACAGCACATCTACAGCACATCTGTTTCTTTAGGGGAGAAGACAGTTGTTCTGTCTGTAATACAAAAGAAAAAAACCCAAGATGCACATGTGGAACGAGAAAATTAGACAATGACTATGAACAATAGCAACACACGGTCAGGGTAATGTTGGAGGAATGTGCTGCTAATTAGCTCTGAGCTTGAATGCATCACCCAAAAATAAAGCAGTGGCTGAATCTGTAGAATCTGTCAAGAATTCATGCAAGAAGTCATTCGCCAATGTGAGAAAAAATGCAACCAATCGCAAAACTCCCTTTGACTGTATATCTTAGTCAAATGCTTGCCCAAGTACCGTGACGAACTGTTGGGTGCAACGTTATACTGTTGCACCCAACAGTCCGTCATGCAGAAAAAAAAGCACTGAGACACAGATGCTGTAGTTGCTGAATGGGGGGCGTCACACTCACCCACACATACTTCTGCTAACAGCTACATGCTGTGTGAGTCAGTATCATGTGGATTCTGTTTCTTAATGGCTTCAATAACCACCCAACGACAGGCATAGAATCCATGCTATTTACAGCACACTGCACTGGTAGCTGAATCAAAATCAACAACAGAAACATGCAATTATCAGATAAGGTCAGAAACGTAATAAAGGAGTATTTGCTGAAACAGCTGAAATGCCTCCCTGTGTGTGCGCCATTGTGGGATGTTACCTAATACACTATGGAATAAAGGCTGAAATTCACACCCCTGTGTGACCATAGCCATAGCAACCACACCAATTTCCTGGGGAAAGTGTCCCACTTTAACAATGTGTTCTGGTGTCAGTTAAATTAGTTGGACTGGGACAGGGTGGGAAGTATTCACTAGCAGACCTTGACTGAGGAAGAGAAATCAAATGTGCATGCGTCCACGTGTGTGGGGAGGATTTTCCAGGTCAAATAGTCTGTCTTTGTGGAGAAATGGCTGCCCTATTGAGCGATTTAATTTTGCACATGGAGATTGTACTGGCTCACATAAGAACCGCCTCTCAGACCCCATTTCCCACATCTGTCCCAGAGGATTGGCAAATGCCACAGATGTGCTCACGTATGTGAGCAACTCGCACACAGCTTCAGCTGCACGATCACACGCTTCACAATCTGGGCCGCTAAGACGCTGTCATCACCTCCCAAGATGAACGTCTTCTGTTCCCAGACTTCAACTACAAACCTGTGTCCTTATCTATTCCCACAGCATGTGCCTTACACGACTTTTACACATTTGCCTATTTATATAGCTGCCTATTTATTAAAGGCATTTAGGTTAAGTGCCTTAGTCAAGGGTAAAAATGCAGCTACCAGCTGGAAACTCATAGACTTTCCAGCAAAACTTTTTGACTCTTTTGACCACTATTTCCCAAACAATAAGTATTGTTTTTAACAGACACTCTTTGTAGTCAGAGGGTGCTATATCATAAGTAAACAGCAGGGAAATCCAAATTATCACTGGATGCTATGAACCTACGCCTACGCTTGCATAATACTAGCCATTTTATTGCATGCCCAATGATGAGAAGTGGATCAGGACCTCAAAAGATTCTCCCTGTCCCTCATGAGGCCTTGGCTTTAGGAGATCGTCAAGCCAAATATGGTACAGGTCATGTTGGGAGGGCGTGGAGGAGATTGCATAAAAGGCATTTGCAGAAGGGAGGGAGATTAGGAAGCAGAAACAGAGCCCATGCTCTGGGCGCCCGGCCAATCAAACTGCATGCTCCTCAAACCTTGCTCACCTGATCTGCCGCTGTTGGGGCTGTCTCCGGACCTCCTCCCCCAGGCGGCTGAGGGAGGGCGATCGGCTGCGGGGTGCACGGGACCCCCTGCCCATTGTCTTCACTGTGCCATTGGGGTTGTTCTGCATCTGCTGGAGCAGTTGAGGCGAGAGGCTGCGGTGGGAAGAGGAGGCCGACAAGGCGGCGGCAACCGATGGCGACCAGTCCTGGGGCAGGTTGTTCACGTTCAGGTTGTTGTCACTGTTCGAGCGCAACAGCACACGTGGGGCAGCGAGCGTGCTCTGGGTACCGCGCCTCCGCTGAGAGTACGCTGGTGCCTCGCGGAAAGGCACTGGGGAACAGAGGACGAGAAAGGGATGTCATGTTTCCGTCACATCTGCACAAATCATATTAACAGATAATCAATACAGAGTCTTGCTCATTGAAGGCTAAATTTGAGGCATAATGGCAGAAATAAGTGAGATGATTGGAGCAGCCACGATGCAAAAGGCTTCTGTGCTAGTCTGATGGTTGGCATCACAAACTTGGGCTCTGAGAGCTCAAGATCAAGAGTAATTTGTCATCCCTCATATTACAGATGAGTGCAAGAGAACGAAACAGTTCCTTTTGGCACTGCATTGCTATTTGATATACCAACAAAGAATAAAAATTAAGGGCATAGTTAAAACGATAAATAAGTGGTAATAAAAATGTTCATAAATGAAGACATAATAATAATAAACAGAATAAAGAAACATGCATTAACCGGCGTTTATGAGGTTATATGAATTTGTTGTGGCAACTGAAGGGTCATAGTAGTAACAGGTATAATGAAGGTGCAGTTAATGCATGATACTAAAGTAGAACGGAATTACGCCGTGAGATAGCCTGCGAAGAAAAAAAATGAATTATTTGACCCAGCTGCTTCGCAACCTTGTTCCTTAAGGTGGGGGCTGGTCCTAGGATGTATACATAGGAAGATACCCCAAGTCACTGTACTACTCACTGAATTAGGCATTCACTGCCCATTAATGTCATTCTCACTTCTGCACACCTGGAGAAGCAAGAGTTGTGGTTTCCTACTCCCTTGGAAACAGTGAGCCAGGGGCTATATCAGGCCTCTGGTACTGACTGAGGCAGGCAGAAGGTCATGGCAAATAGCAGAGCCTAATGATTCATCTCTTTGCATCATTAATTATGTATCTCTGTTTCTGTGAACGTGTAACTGAGGCAACAAATGACTGGGAAGTCTCATGACAACACAAACATAGGCATGACTGCATCACTTTAGATGTGTCTTACGTAAGTATACAGCGTGATAATTCTTGGCCCAGACTCCATGGACAATGACTAGTAAACACAGCATTACTAGTTACGAGTATTTCGAGTAGCCAAGCTTTGCTGAGTTCTATAGCATTGCGTTCACAGCATCCAGGACACAGTCCTCTGAGCATCCACTTAGAACCTTCAATGTGCTGCTTACATCAAGGCTCACTGACCTCTCTTTTCATGCTCTGATTAGGAGATTATGCTGCATACAGAGTTAGGCTAAAAACCTGACCCAGGCCCACCCTTGGGCTTACTGCTTCATCAAAAAAGGAAGACATTTTAGAAGCAGCCAGGGCTCAACTGATTGAAAAAATATCTATCAGCTAATTTCCCAGAACACATCGATATAAATGGGTGGCATGGTGGTAAAGTGGGTAGCACTGTTGCCTCACACCTCCAGAGCTGGGTGTTCAAATCACACCTCCGTTGTGTATGTGTGGAGTTTGCATGTTCTCCGCATGTTGAGTGGATTTCCTCTGGGTACTGCAGTATCTTTACACATTTAATCCAATCCAAAGACATTCAGCTAGGTTCACTCCCTAGTGTGTGTATGTGTGTGTGTGCGTGCATGCTTATGTATATGAGAGATGGACTGGCATTCCATCCAGGCTATACCTCAGCCTTGTGCTCTTTATTGTCTAGGACAGACTCCAGGCCTCCCTGAGATACTTACCTGGATAAGCAAATTGAGGATGGATGGATGGAGGAACAGATATCTATATAATGCGTGAAATGGTAGTTAAGTGGAGAGCACTGTTGCTGCACTTTTTGGGATAAGTTCCAAGCCAATTGTGACTCAGTACTGAATAAGGATAAAGCATCATCATCTGGGTCACAATAGGCTACTCTCATGATCTTCCCTGTCTATGCGGAACCCCAGTGAGGACGAGGAGAGGGGGGACCAGCTAATGAGCTGCCAGCCTGTCACCTCGTAAAAGGCCAGCAGGGGTCCATGGAGACACGGGCAGACGTGAGGGTGAGAGGGCCTGGCTGGCCTTAAAAGCCCAGAAAACACAACGGTAATCTGGGGAATGCAGGAAGGTGTGAAATGCATGGGGCACCATGCATCTGATGAGACAGAAAGAAAAAAAAGGATACAGGACCATCACAAATGGCCTCAGAATGATTGGTGACGAAGCAAACGACGTCATGTGGGGCAAAGCACATGTGAGTTACGCACGCAGCTGCCAGGTGATGCTTCAGCAGCTGGCGCCTGACGGCCACTGCATTCTGAGACCCCAGGGAGTGCGGAGAGGAATGAGGGGGTTTTTGGCTGCATGTAGATGATGGCTGACACCCAGCTCCCACCTTCATGCATGGTCACCCCACAAGCCGCTACAAAAAAACATGGGCACAGAGCAGCTGGAAGCCAGTGCACAACAGCTCACCCCTGAAATAGCTGTGGACAGCTTAAGCAGGGAGTTATAACACTGGATTATCACAACAGTTTTTTGCCTTTTCAAATCTCTTACATCTCTGAACATTAAAAAAGCATGAGTTACATAACAGCAGAAAGAAATCACTCTATATTATTTACTGCTTGTCAACGCATGCCTGCAACAAACACCAGAAAAGCCACATCCTTGAGGACCTAAAGACAAAACTACTTCTTCCTGTTCTGTGCTTATTTTTCCTGAAATGTCATTTTCACGAAGAAAATGTTACATTATACAGTCAAAAGAAAGAGAGGACAGACCCAGCTTATGTAGAAAATTAACTTCTACTCCCTCTGATAGGGTTGTTTATAACAAGCGGCATGGACACTTCAGCGGGTGTTTCTGTTCCCCATGAAATGCACATGTAACATCTTCCATTTCCCTCTCTGCAGAGGATGCCTTGATCGGCCAGCGTCCCGAGCAGATCACAGTACCAGGGTCACGATGACCTCGAGAGGAAGAGCAGAACCCCCCTTTCATTCTGCGAGAAAACGGCACAACTGCCTTGCCAGTCTGATAACCGTGCCACCGTCACATCGTCACCAAGATTTCTCTAAGAAGCGCAAAGACAAACCTGAAGAAGGACCTCTTTTAAATTTAACGAAGAAACATCAATTGTTGTAAGGAAATCACTCAAATTCAAAGAAACAATAGTTAACAAAACTAAGTTCCCAGCTCAAGGAAATATTTCATGCTGAACCAGACACTTTGACACTTACACTACAGCGCATCATTCAGGAAAAATAATTGTATGCACATAAAATACGTACACATATATTACATATTATATACGTACATGTTTATGTAACATGGGTTTTCTTTAAAGTCAAATAAGAACACAAGGATTTTAGGATACTTTTATTTTTATAAACAGTTCTAAAATAAAATATTTTCAATATAGTTTATAGTTGAAGTAAGAGTAAAGTCTAAATCCCAAAGAACAAAAGCACTCTTCTTACCTTCTTTCTTAAAGGCATTTAGTAAGGACTTCATTTTCCTCACTTCTTTACTTTTCACTCCGACCCGTTCATAGTAATGTGACACAAACGACGAAAAGGACGAAAACCAGAGCAAGTGACGAGAGACGGAGCGCAGCGAGTCCCCGAGCCGCGGCGTGGCACAGAGCTGTACTTTCCCTGGGCAGAAAGTGACTGGGGGAGCGGTTTACCGGCGCCGTGGCCACAGAGCCCACCCCACATGATTGCGCCTGTCAGCTGAGAGTGGGACTGGCGGAGCGCAGACGGTACCGGGACGGAGCTCGGCAGCTTCGCGCCGCTCTTCGCACTGACGGTCATGTGAGCGCTCGCACTGACGCGGCTCGCCTCGTGCCAAAGCGCCGCCTCACCTCGGCGCGCGTGCAAGTGCGCGGCTGACCTAACGCAGAATAACATCGCGTTTGACTACCCTTTGTCATTCGTATAATTAGCCACGAACACGTGCTGTTTTCAGTTCCTGGGCTCCTTGAATTTACTGAATTGGGTCTAATCCTCCTTTGTAAAACTCATTATTTAAAAGAGATGATTACTCCTTCTCCGAGTAAAAGTATTTTCAATTAAATGATCAGGTAACGCAATTTAATATGAACCGTATACGTGTTACCTCATTTTTGTGCAATGGAGTTTTTTTTATTTAACTGACACAGGCATGTATTAAATTGACCCTGCTAAATAACATTTTGGAGACTGGAGTTTAACCCTTCCTGAACAACTAACAGCTGTATCGGAAACAAGCCTTCAAGGTTGCTAGGCAACCCAAAAGGATTCCTCAAACCAGTTGCTTTGTTGAGGCATCAATGAAGTATTCTGCTATCTCTGGTAGTAAGGAGGTACTTATGTGGTACACTTAGGAATGATATCTACTTTTAACATTTTGCTTAGGGTTGTACATGGTTTATATAGTTCTGGGCAGATATTTTTGAAAGTTTTTATTAAAATTCAAGTGGGACTGCAGACCTATTTTAGCACTGACCTTAGCATGTCTTACACAAGGGTCCCGCATCAGGGCTTTGAGCAGAGTTACCCCATCATCTCCCACACACTTTTAGAGCTGGTTTCCCCAAAGCCTTCTGTAACCAGGAATTAGAGCTATTTATTTGCATTGTGTCCTTTGTTTTGCTCCCATATTGTCCACTCATTTCCATGATGGGGGGGCGGCTCCTCCCTCTAGCTACAGACAGATGTTGTAAGCCACTACAGCATACCATTGAAGCACTGCATTTGCCAGGGATATAAAAACATAATTGGCGTTGAAGAACCTACACAGCCTACATTTACTGTGTACATTTGCTACAGTTTTCCAAGAATCCCTAAATTCATTACAAGGAAAGCTTAAAAGCAGATGCAAAACCAATATACCATAATGCTGGATCACATAGGACTTTAGTAAATCCATGTTATGTACCAGCTGGTACGTCACTTCAATTAAGGCAGCCTTGTGAACCTACTGACTACACATACCATCAACTAAATGTGTGTATGCCCTAATAATACCCTTCAAGTCTGTAGTATTTCCTTAAACACACGAAGCACCAAAGCATGGATGTTTTTTTGGAAAGTGAACATATGAACTAAAAGCAACTAAAATGATA